GAGGGTCACTGGTATTAGATGATGTGACTTTGTAGTTCAAACAAACAAAGGACTGAGCATTGAATGTATTCCATTCAATGACCAACACTGGAACATCTTAAAGGGTACATTGAAGTCTTATTATGTAACACATTTTCTTGCCAAGGCAGCTAGAGAGCCTTGAATTCTTGGCTAGGCATTTACAAATGGAAGATAATACTTCAGTCACTTACTGAGACATGTGCAAAGTAAAGCGTAATGCCTTTCATAATTTGGGTATTTGTCAAAGATTGCATTAAAATTTTCACAAAATTTGAAAAATTTACTCAACAATTAAACTGAGTTGTGTTCATGAGAGTGGAAGTGATTACATATTTTCAAGACTTCCACGTGAGTTATCAAAGATACTTTTTTGGATCCTATTTACATGTTCATACTTTGCAGCTTTGAGTGAGATCATAACATCTGAATAATGATTCACAATAATGCAAGATGCATTTTATACTGAGAACACTTTTAAAATATAAGTATAGGAAATCGTATAAACGTGAGTGCATTTCGTGACTTATGGGCACGAGTGATGTTTTGAAAGTTCTCAAAATTGCACGAGCCGTAGGCGAGTGCAATTTGAGAACTTTCAAAACATCACAAGTGACCATAAATCACGAAATGCACGAGCAGGTTCATATGATTTTTTATTTATTATATTCTCGATTTTTTTATAATTTGGTGTTCAAATTTGGTGCTTCCCCAGTGTTTCCATGGCAACTGAGAACATTTATGCATTCATCATTGACCAATCAGAAACGCGATATTTTGTTGAGTATATAATAAGGAAACTTATTTCAGCCTTTGATAAAATAATAGATATTTATATTACCATTGTAACTACAAATACGACCAAATTACATCAATTCTCTCTATTAGTTGTAAAGAAATGTAGGGAGAATTTTGTTTAGTTGGTTCTGTGACTTAATAGAATGAATTGAAAAATTGCAGTATTCTTTCTTATCATCTCATTTTTGAACCCTGGAAAGCCATCTAACAGTTGACTGCCATTGGTAGAAAACATTGATGAACTATTGTGTATCTTATGTGGCTTTTTAGATCAGCCAAAGAAGAAAGGAATTGAAGAGAAATTTGTAGTTGGTTTACAACACGCTGTTTTTGAGAGCTAGCTCTTCTTGATGGCTCTCTAAATTTAGAGGAAAATGTGTAGCTACATAAAATATCCATACATGTACCTCCCTCACAGAAGGGATTTTTTTGTAACAACCCCCATCTCTCTGAAAACTCCAATAAAACTATATACATTGTTTTCTAATTTTTTGGTCTTTGAGAACTCTCACCCCCATGGAATTTCCAATCCCTTCAGTGAGTTGTTTAGAAATTTCCTGGAACTACACAAATGTTGATAAAAAAAATGATACAAACTATTCTGAAATCAGTGGATCTTGAGCATTGCAAAGGAAGGCACACACTCCACATCTGGTTAACAACTCCAAACAAACTTAAAGGAATTTCTCCTTTCCAGATGAGGAAGTTCTTGATTTTGTTTATTACCCTCTCTACATGTATCCTGAAACCAGCTATTTGTTGTGTTCATATCACATCTTCAGCAGACATTTGACTGTTTCTCCCAAGGAAAGGTGGAATGTACAATTTTACTCCAAGTGGCAAAATGTCTTGAATTTGAAATACTTTATCAGCCATGACGCTCTCACTATCCTCAAATTTCTGTGACAAAAAACCACTTCGAAGAACAATTTCACGATCTGAAATGCTACCAGTGTAAAGCTGGCTAATAAAAGTAATTGCATCACTTGGCCCAGGGCGTGAAATTAATTTTTTTCTTCTGATAGCCATATGGCTCTTAAATTCTTCAAAGAGGTAGCCATTTAAAAAAAAGTTGGTCGCCATTTTCAAAGACAAACAAAACCTTTTTACGCTGTCAGCGTGCTAGATAGACCCTGCAAAATCAAGTAAGGGAAAAGATCTTTAACCAGCTACAAAGTGTACACTAGTATGGATTATATACAACGTTCAAGCTCACCCAAATCCAAGATCGAGATGCATTTGCTGCGTTTTGGAAACAAACTTAACGAGGAAGTTTGCCGCGGATTTTTTGTGTTTTAGGCGGTAAGACAGCCGCAGTGCAATGGCTGCCGACAGTTTGTCGCGGATTTATCTTTACAAATCTTTTAATTCACTAGGGGTACATTCCTTTGGGAGGATCTGGATTTAGATTTGTGATCCAAGATAAAAAAACGGTGCAAAAGGAACCGTAGTTTCGTGTAGCCATTGGGTATGCCTTTTTTTTCCCTGAATGGCTTTTCACGTTACGTTATGTTAATTACAAAACATTTTTCATGCACTGACCGATGGAATTAAATCAGAAGCAAGTATTAATTTCGAAAAAATCGTATAATTTGGTAAGTTCATTTTAACATCTGTATGTTCTTCAGGTTTGACGAAGCCCGATGAGATTGTGTTGCAAAAGGCAATATTTTCTTGTATGCTC